AGCCCAGTTGTGTGATGCCAGTTGTGACGAAATGGCTGCCAGGCCTTAAAACGGATACCAGCCTGGTAGTTCCTTATGTGTGTGGGGGGGTACTCCATAGGGAACAATGGAGCTGCCATACCTCCCTGCCTACACTTCCCAGCATCCCTTGGGGGGGAAAGAGCGGGAAAAGAGGGACAGAGCCAAGGGGTGGGGCCAGGGAGAGAGTGACTATTTGGCTCCTGAGGAAAAAAGTCAATCTCAGCCTGGTCTTCAGCGTGAACGGCAGGCTTAAGGAAGAGCGCAGGTGGGACTCCTGTCACCAGAAACTCTGAGGGCAATCCAGGCCACTATTGACCGTGGTGGAGAGCCAGGAGGGTGGCAGTGCTGGTGGCCAGTTCCGTGGAGAAGGGCTGGAGTTTCTCTCCACAACCGGAGAGGAAAACGCAAATCCTGGCCTGAGGCCGCAATCCACTACCGACGTAGAGAGGGTGTGTGGTAGGGACAGAAGTCTTGCATTTTGATTCTGTTTGTTTTGTGTGCCCAGGTTGCGTGGAAGTGCCTGAGTTTATTTTCTATGCCCAAAAATGTATATAGTTCAATAAATCTTCCTTTGTTGAGTTTAAAAAGCCTGGTGTGCCTTAACCACCTAGACTCCCCCGCTCTACACGTTACCAGGGGCAAAGGGAGGCCAGGGGACTTAAACGGGGCTAAAACTGGTGGGTTGCCAACCCTCCAGGGGGTGCCCAAACATTGAGATAACCACTTCCCGAGATGGGAAATTTAGCCAGAGGGGTCTCACTGTCCCTCAAGGAAGGCGGTGACTTAATTCAGTGAGTGGTGGCAGCCGGAACGAAGAGGAATAGCCCCACCAGGCAGGGTGGGAAGGACAAAATGGGGGCTTGCAAGCCCCAGGACGACACCTTGGTTCCCCAGGGCTGAGGGTGGGTCCCCGTTTCGCCACAGGGAGAAATAGATTTGCATGCTACAGTACAAAGAGGGAAACCTGTCTTTGGATGCTCCGCTCTGGTCGATGCATGTGGGGTTTTCTCTTTGGACAAAGAGTAACCCTCTTTACCAGCTAGAAAGCTACGGGTATATATGGCTCTTGAAGGGGAAACTGTACAACTTCACGGTCCATCAATGGCAATGCACTTCTAAGGGGAGAAAAATGCTTCTTTGCAAAGAATAGCTTCATAACTGGGCAGTCATGGAAACAGAAGTGGAACATGGCCACGTCTGAAACCCACCACAGATACTCCCACTCTAGAATCGCTGAAGGGCAATTAGCCGTACCTCATCAGGACTTCTGCAATGTGGAATCCGATCCCAGAACCACCTCCGGTGATGAACGCTACTTTGCCCCTGGAAAAGAGGAGGAGGGATATTTTCACATGGTGCAAAACAGAATCTGTACATGACTTTTTGTCATGTACATTCAGAAATGACATTATGACATCAAGCAAGGGAACGGCCACACCTGCTCTTTTTTCTCTTTTTTAAAAATAAATTTTATTTAATGTCTTCTCAAAGCACGATACCATCAATCAATATATATATATATATAAAAACCTCTTAAAATACAGTTTGTTGGCAGCATGTAGAGAAACATTAAAAAGGCACTTAAACATATCAACAAAGACTCCACCAGCACAGTCATCATAACTGTTTAAAACTGCTCTTGATATCCAGGCTAATGAAACAAAGATGAAAATACTTGACTGAACTTTACAAACATAGTGACAACCAAACGCAAAATGCAGGATGCGGTAAATGATCTCTGTCCTTTAAAAACTAGCTTCCAGGGAACACCCAAACAAAAATGAACTACCATGGGTTAAGAGGAGTTGACAAGGGGGCAAGGGTGGTTGAAATTCTCAATAGAATATCACAATCCTCTTTCACAGACCACACAGAGAGGGGAGAACCAGAAAGACGACGACAACAACAAAACAGTTACTAATGACCCCAGTAACAATACTATCAAGTTATAACTTCTGAATTTTTCTACTGGCCATTATTTTCCCACTGCTACAGCAACCATTCGCCGCCCTACCGAACCTGGCAAATCAAC